GCTAACCAATCACAACACACACTGGCCCAGCTAACCAATCACAGCACACACTGGCCCAGCTAACCAATCACAGCACATTTCGTATTTCAGAAGGTGGGCCTTCATTTGATACAGCATAATAGGACCCCTTTAATACTATTCATGTTCAGGAGATAAAATGTTCCAATGACAAAAATAAAATCAAAATAATAATAATAATATAGGATATTTAAAATTGAATATTTAAGCCTTGAGTATAACTATAAAAATCGTTTTTTTTTTGTTTTGTTTTTTTGTCCAAAGTTGTAAAAAAGAAAGATTATTGAAATAAAAAGTAAGATACTATTACAGACGTTCATCCTGAATTTCATGTTTATTTCAATGTGCTACTTTACAATTAATTATGAAATGTACTCATTTCTGAGTGAAAATTGTTTCTACACTTTTTTTTTTTCAGTGAAGTTTGGCAGAAGATAACATTGTTGCTTCTGCATCGTTTCTTTTATACAAAGACAAAAAAACAAACAAAAAAAAAAACGTTAAAGTATGTTCAATCTACTGCATCACCTTCAAAGTGATTTGAATATTCCTGTAAAGCAATTTATCTCAGTCAACAATTTGGTGACCCAACACAGTACTAAAATGATTAATCATTTAAAAATAAACGTTTAACTTTTTGTTAAAGGGGTCATATGACATTGCTAAAAAGAACAGTATTTTGTGTATTTGGTGTAATGAAATGTGTTTATGCAGTTTAAGGTTCAAAAAACACATTATTTTCCACATACTGTACATGATTGTTTCTCCTCTATGCCCCGCCTTTCTGAAACGCGTCGATTTTTACAAAGCTCATCGGTCTCGCACACAAGCGAGGTGTGCTGTGATTGGCCTGCTATCCAGTGCGTTGTGATTGGCTGAATGCCTCAAGCGTGTGACGGAAATGTTACGCCCCTCACCATACTGTTGATGCCCTGTCCGGCCGGAGCGACGAGACAAAAACATGAAAACCCATTATAAACGAGGCATTTGTTGCATCCAGTGGGGACATAATTACTGATTATAATGACTTATACTGTCCTTTTACGCGTTGCGTTGCATCGTGCCGCGTAAACATAAAACCATGTCTGCATTTGTGATCGGAGAAATGACAAGCGTTGACAACATGACAACACACAGCGTCATGTGGGGACATGTTTAAACAAGGCATTTTAGGAGGGCGTGGACGAGTCTTAACTTTTATAAAGAATATCTATTTGGGTTTGAGACTTTAGTCTTTGCAACTTTAGGGATCTTATCTATTCACAAACAGCTTGTAAAACTCCAAAGAGAAAGGAAAACTTGAAATCGCATCATATGACCACTTTTGTTAATGATTTTTGAGCATGAGGGAATGTCACACAACCTGTCCATGTTGCGTCTTGACTTCTACCGTGTCAAATTTCCTGCAAAATTCCATACATGAGTGTGTTTCCCAAAAACATTATTAGCTAACTATGGTTGAAAGTGCCACTGAACTCTATTGGTAATGATGGAACTTGCATCCATAGTTGCTTTTGGGAAACACACCCCTGGTTGATTGAATTTGCAACCATTTGACATCAACAAAGTTCTCCATTGCACTCTTCTTTCACTCTCCCAACTTTGCATACTGTTTGCATTTAGCTATGTTCTTTGCTGTGCCTTAAACCCTTATTCCATGCACTGGTGAAAGCACACACACACACACACACACACAGAGAGAGAGAGATCTAGCAGTTTCATTGTTTACATAAACATTTTATTATACATCTTTTTCTTCAAAAAAAATATACATGTGACTTTATTTAAAAGTTACAGGCAACTACAGGTTTGAGGCAACAGTTGCAAAATAAATTAAGACATCTAAAAATAATTATCTTTGATCATTTCAGCCACGTGGCATCACACTTGCACAATTAAATCAATAGACCAATTACACTAATTTGTATCAGCCCTCTCTGTGCAGGAGCCTGATTTTAAGTAGCAGTACATTAGTAGAATGCAAACACTAATGCTCACAAAACACACTCAAACACAACCTCTCTCACACATACACACAGATAAAATAAATGATGTATTGCCCTCTTCCCCATATTTGCAGCTCCTTTCCTCATTGTTCCCAGAGTCACAACATTGCACAGTTATAAATATGCTGAATTACATATACTTTAGTGTTGGGTTCATCAAGCGTTCAGTGCTCATCGACCAATTTCAGAAAGCAAATGACGTGTTGGCAGCATCCTTACAACAGGAGGACTGCAAGGATCCCTGAGAGAATTACCAGAGCAGCTGAAAAGACAAGAAAAATTAATAGTTAAGTCATTTATTAAAGAACTTCAAATGATTTATCCTAATATTTTTGCTCAGGTAACTGACTCTTGAAAAGCACATCACTAAAATGATACTGCTTCTATTGGCTAGAAATAACTCCTGTATTGCAAATGCTGTTCTGTCTGTTGGGCAAATGCATATCATGCACCAATTAATTTCAAACAAGAGCATTTAGCAGCTAAAGAGTAGTCCTTTGTGTCACTCTTTTTAACACACTGTAGATATTTTCTCTCAAAATGCAGACTCTACCTGGTGTGGCCGTATAGAATTCTTACCCTGAGATGCAGCATGATGCAGTGCATTGCTCCCTGCTGTAGTAGCAGGTTTTGCTGTAGTAGAAACCGTAGTAGTGGTAGTATTTGTAGTGGGTGTTATTATGACAACATCTGAGCTGTTAGTGCTCGTTAGATCAACCGATGAATTTGTAGACATTCGTGTGACTGGCGACCCCAGAGTGCCTGTGGGAATGGAAATAAAGAAAACATTTTAATTTTGCTACCAATTGGAATCTCCTTCAGTACTGTTTTCGTAGTGTCACTCTTACCGTTTGCATAGTTGCCAGTGAAGAAATAGAGGAAAGTATCTGTGTTTGCTGCACGGATGATTCTGCTGAGGCCCGCAGCTACAAAAATGCACTGAATCCTAGTGCCGCTCACAGAGCCACGGAAGGATCTGGGGTTAAACTGTAAGACAAAACAAGTACAAATGTATTGCTACAAATTAGATGTCACAGTGAGGGAGGTGTCCCTTCACCTCAAAGCATTCCATAAACCCTCCAGCTCTACTCTGGGTTTCGCTTTTTTCGCTTGCTGCCGTTGAACAAACATTTGCATTGTTACTGTTCTACTGTATAGTTGTCTCAGAATGCTTTGTTCTTTAAAGCCGTCCCCATTGCTGTTCATTACCACATAATTTATAGTCAATAATCTTTTGTGCAAAGCTTGGCAATAAAGAAAATTATCTGTAAAAGGGAGTCTTACGGTATTATCCGGAGTCAGAATGGTATTATTCAGTGTTGCACGGATGAACTTCGCCACACCATTGTTGTTGGCACAAGAATAGACGGTGTCATTATCACCCTATGAGAAGAAAAGTTAAATAAGTGAGAACCCAAATCTGAGATTTTTTTTTTTGTCCAAATCACATTCTTAAAAAAAGGGAATTTTTTAAACGTGGACATATATTAGAAATAAATTTGATGTTTTTCAGACCTCCTTCTTGTCTCGAGACAGGCCAACTGCAATGTAACCATTTGCATCCCCGCTGAGCTCAAAAGTGAGATTGTCGGAGTCTCCGTTCACCCCTCTTGTGGAGGCAAAAAAGCAGCTACTTGAGCTGGATGGATCACAGTTGGCTGGAGTGGAGAAACATGCCCTGTCCTTCTTACAGTTGTCTTTGGTGACCTTGTCCTGTAAAGTTATGTTGATATTAGCCTTGAAATGCAATGCTGAAATTCATATAAATCTGTTGAGAATGTTCAATAAATGCATAAAATCTCAAGTAAATTCAAGTTTCCAAAAAAAAAAACTACAGCAATTTGACATCCGACACAATACAATAGCTGTTAACATCGACTCCACAAACACTTTACTTCACCTTCACCACAAAAAGCAACACAATTGTAAATATGAACAAAAAACTGTCTTGCCAGTCTGTTCCCACTTACATTTGCTGTACCATTATTAGCTGTAGATACTCCAGACGCAGTAGATGCAGTGGTGTTTAATGCTGCAGTGGCAGTAGATGCAGTGCTGTTTGGGGCTGTAGTGGTGGCATCTATACTGGGTGTTATTACTGTAACATCTGTGCTGTTAGGGTTGCTTAAGTCCACTGACCCATTTGTGGCCAGTCTAGTGACTGGAGAATCCAGAGAACCTGGAAAAGGAGTAAAGGGAGGAGTAAGATTTACTTTTGCAAAAAAAAAAGTGCATAATAATTTGTCACTGGATCAAAGTTTCACACTCACCATTTGAGACGCTTCCTGTTAAAAATAAGACAAAATTGTCTGTGGCTGCAGCACGGGCATTGTTGCTGAGACCTGCAGCAGTGAAAATGCACTGAATCTTTCTTCCATTCATCGAACCACGGAAACTTCCAGGGATGAACTGCAGCAAGACAGAAATAATATTACTGAATATTACACTGCAAAGGTGGCACAGAACCTAAATCTGAGGTGGCATATTCAGTGCTGTGAGAAAGTCTATTTTAGTATATTTTACAGTATATTTTAATTTATTTTTATGCATTATTGCTTCTTTACACAGATTTACACAGAGGCAACATTTGATACCTGTGTGGACAGTACCATTCCCTTTTTTAATATACTACTATATTGTTTACTGTTAAGAATTTCCTTTGCTAATATTGGCATAGTATCATTTATAGAGAAGGCTCTCTGAAAAAGGGTCTTACTGTGTTATCCTGAGTCAGTATTTGATTGTTCAGTGTGGAACGGAAAAACCTCAGTTCACTATTGACTTTGGCACAAGAATAGACAGTGGCTCCTTGACCCTGTGGATGTGAAAAGTAAATTAGTCAAGAAATCATACTTTGGGTTTAAAATTACAGTGCTTAATTATTACATTTAATTAAAAGAAATACGTAAAAAAAAAAAAAAAACTCGATTTGATCACTTACACGCTTGTCTCGAGAGAGGCCTGCTCCGATGTAACCATCTGTCTCACCACTGATCTCAAAAGTAAAATTATCTGCATTTCCACCTACTCCTCTTGTAGAGAGGAAATAGCAGGAACCTTGTGCACTTGGATTACAGGAAGGTGGAGCAGAGAAACATGCTCTATCCCTCTTGCAGTTATCCCTGCCAGTGATTTCCTGCAATCAAAAAGAACTTGAGCTTTAACAGCCAAGATTGTCATTTCCATTTTTAAACAGGAAAAAGACTTGACTTACTATTGATTGAGTATTAGAACTTGACGTTTTTATAATGTTTGTTACAGTGAGGGGGCCTGACTGGGTCGGGTTTGCGGTGATGTTGGCAGGGCTTGTTTGGTTCAGGTTGGTGGTTATGTTGGGAGGCTGTGTTTGGGTCGAGTTGGTGGTTATGTTGGGAGGCTGTGTTTGGGTCGAGTTGGTGGTTATGTTGGGAGGCTGTGTTTGGGTCGAGTTGGTGGTTATGTTGGGAGGCTGTGTTTGGGTCAGGTTGGTGGTTATGTTGGGAGGCTGTGTTTGGGGCAGGATGTTGGTTATGTTGGCAAGGCTTGTTTGGTTCAGGTTGGTGGTTATGTTGGGAGGCTGTGTTTGGGGCGAGTTGGTGGTTATGTTGGGAGGCTGTGTTTGGGGCAGGATGTTGGTTATGTTGGCAAGGCTTGTTTGGTTCAGGTTGGTGGTTATGTTGGGAGGGAGTGTCTGGGTCAGGTTGGTGGTCATGTTAGAAGATATCCAGCTGCCTATGGAGTTGCTACTGCTCGTTGTATTGTTCCCATTGACTCCAATCATCATGCATGCTATCCCCAGGATAGCCACAAAGATCAAATTGCTCCTCATGAGTTACGTTTATGAGCTTATATATCTGTTAATCCTGCAGTTTTTGTTACCTGTAATTAAAAATGAAAAGAAAATAATTCAGTTTGTATAAACATAAAAAAATAAACATTTTAGACAATTTAATGTTTTAAAAAGCCATTAATGACAGACAGTCTTTATCTGAAAGACTTTATCTTTCATTGCCTTTTATCATTTATCTTTATCATTAAGTCTGGATTCTCAATTCATCCACACCTTAGTTTTTTTTACAGAGTTTATCAATAACATATTACTTAATTAACAGAGTTCATTAAGTGATATGTTATTGATAAATATTAAGTCACTTTAACATTAACAATTAAACCTTAACACTAAGATATGAGTGTTGCTTCACATCTTTACATGTCTTTATATCAGCAGTGGTTGTTTGTTTGTAGGAACTGAGATGCTATCTTAGCTATACTAGTATGCAATCTAAGAAGTTATGTTGTTAGAAGTTATTAACTGATGTGTATTTTCAATTCTTAAATTCACACAAGTGTTACACCACAGTATATACTACACAGAGCAACCATTCAACCTCCTTACTATGGTAAAGAGTAAAATTATCAAATTTGATGAATCCTCAAAATACATCCTCAAAACTAAACACAATTTTTTTTTTTTTCAAATGTATGTTTTAGAAGCCAGTGGCTCCTTAGTTATTCCATAGTCAGTAGCTCTGAAAAAAATAGGGTCATTCAGTCAGCATAGCACTGTCCAATAACATAAAATATATTTTTCACAGTAGTAAAAAAAAAAAAAGTGTCAAAAAATGAATAATAAAAAATATGTATCTGTCACTATTTAATATTAATTCCATACAATGTATAATATATAATAAGACTTATATACAATATAATATACAATAAGAATTATAATTTAAGAAAAAAAAAACCCGGAGAAAATAAAAAGCACCAGCTTGCACTGCTTTACAAAGACACAAAGAAACAGTGGTTCCAACAAATATTTGGACACTTTATTAATGCATATTGTAGCACAAAAAAATAAAGGTACATTTTAAAAAGCTCATAAAAGTGCAGTTAGTTCTGAGATTTTGTTATCTGATTCAATGACATTCAGACATTAGGCGACCTCCTACAAGATATAAGGTATGTATATCAAAGTGTCATGCCATTTCTAATTGCATGAATAGACCTCATCTGTTAAGTCTTTGTATAATGCAATGACATTACACATATCTGTCTCTGGTTTCCCGATAGCTCAGTCAATAAGTTAGCAGCCGCTTTTGAAGAAAGTTTAAAGCATTTCTTACCCGTGTCTGAGTTGTTCTGGGAGTTTGGGATCAATGATGGAGGTGTCAGAACTTCTCTGGCTTTAATAACTCACATTCAGGGCGGGACCGGAAGGGTTGGACACACCGGTTTTAACTTTTTTCACTTCAGACTTCGTCATTTGCACATTCAAACGTAAAAGCAAAATCAACATACATTATTACAGCAGGAGCAGCTCTGCAGCTCATATTGGTACATCCCTGCTGCGCTTTTCAGCTCAACTACTACAGCTTTTCCAGTGACGCTGTAAAATTACTGAAATAATCAGTTGTTATTTTTTTGTACCGTCATCATGTGATGCACTTGATTGACAAGTTTTCTTCTTCAGAAAAAGAGTCTGACAAACACTGTTAATTTTCTCACGAAATGCCCCTCTATAAGTGAACATATGTATTTGTTATATGGATACAAAACCAACATAAGACAAGTAAAAAGACAAAATATACTTCAACGTATAAAATAAAGCAAATAAATAAATGAGACCAAAAAAGACTGATAAATCTCACTCACTCATTGTCAGATGTTTTTAATCTTTTATACTGTTTGAAGGCGATGCCATTCTAATGTATCATAACATCCCATTTGTTCTTTTCGGCACTGTTACTCCTATTTTAGGTAACTGTACTCAACCCTGTCTGGTGTGTTATTTATTGTATGTTAGATCTACAGCATTGATGGAATAGATCAACAAGTTACTGTTCAGCTGCTTTACCAGTTTCTCTGGCGCGGTTAGATAGACGTATTGAAGCGACTGAGCTGATTGAAGTTTCACACCCAGGCAAAAGACAAATACGTGAAAAGAAATTCCTGTGGCTCCAAACACAAAACACAAGCTTACACACATGCGCATTATCAGGGCTGGCATCCAAAGAATTTGGATTCTTTCACACACCTTTTGTCATGTATCTTCAGACTGACAACACGAACAACATTGCAAAACTGTTTTTAATTAGCTTGACGTGAAGAATGTTCTTGACCTGTTTTCTTTCCTCAGTAAAGGAACAGATATATTTTATTGTATATTGTAGCATATTATTTCAACCACAACAACTGAATCATGCAATTATGTGGACTTTTACTATGTATTTGATTCAGAGATCCATCAAATGTTCATCAAATTAAGTTAAGCTTCAAATAAAACCATCACTGCTCATGTTAAACAGCAATCCATCACTCTACGGCTGATGGTTCTCCAACGCAAAGTCAAACTCAAACACAAAACCAATGCCTTTCATAGATAAGACTGCACTGACACTAACTGTGGAGAAGTATCTTTGACATCAGAGTCAGACAGCAGTCCAGTAAAATACGTTCTAAGAACGTTTTGATAATGTTCCCATCAAGTTCTGAAAGCATAATTTATTAATGTTCTCTGAAGGTTCAAAATGTCCAGTATTTAAAATGTTTTAAAAATATATATTTTTTTCTATAAGGAACATTCCATTTCATCATTTTGGGAACATCATTTTTTAATGTTCTCAGATTTTTATTATTATAATTTTTTTTAAATAGTAAGCTGTTTTGTTAATAACTTTGAGAGTACCTCGCAAACGTTTTGAGACAAAGTTCCCTGTTAGATGGGAGTAATCAGATACACGTGAGAATGACGTTTGGAGAAGTATAATGTAAAAATGTAGGGTAACGAGTTAAGTTTTGACCTTAATCCCTTTAAGAGTGCTTTCTCCGACTATTTAAATGTGTGTTTCAGGCTGTACACGGCTGTGTCTGTAGTCTTGGCCAAAAGGAGAGTGAATGAAGTTATTGCACTGATTTAAAAATACAGATGTAAATGAACACGCCTTTATACACAATGCGTTCTGGTACAACAAGATCTTTTCTGCTCAAAAGAAGAGAGACAAAAGAAGGTGCATCACTGAGCAAAGATAACACTTACGTTAGCATCGTGTTCACTAGTCTGTGAAGCTGCTCGGGCCTGTCAGAAAACAATGGCACAAATACTAGGATGAGCATGAAAGAAATATCTCTGACATCGCAACAAATTATGTCAAACTTTACACTGTAAAAAATGTCCTTGTAAATTAACGGTAATATACTGGCAGCAGGGTTTCCAGCAGTGTACCGTAATTTTACAGTTTTATTACTGTATTCTGAATTACGGCTTTTTTTGTAATTGTATGGTAAAATGCTGGCAGCAGTGTTCTGTAATTTTACAGTTTCATTACTGTATTCTAGATTTTTTTTTGTATAAAACAGTAGAACTGGCAATTTTGCCAATCATTAACTTTATTATAAATATCTGTACTTGAACAAATTCACAAACTGGCATTGTAATTTCATTTATACAAAAAAAGTGGCAGCAAATACACAGAAAAGAGAAGACCAAGAGGGTATTTCTTATAGCACAGTGTTTATTTAAGTGCCCAAGCAATAATTAAAATGCTTTCTCAAAAAAAAGCAATCAAAATGGAAGAATCAATTTGCAATCCAATGGAAGAATCAGTCTTTGTGTATGTTAGAGAAAGATGAGATGAAGAGAGAAGAAAAATTAACCTTAGCATTACAAAACAGACAATGTGCAAAATGAACCCTGCAGAAGTCTGTAGACATATTTAAACCGATTTAAGTTGACTATATAAAACACAAAACAAGCAGCCATTTAAGGTGTATCTGTGTGCTATGAGTATGACATAGCATGGGCATGGGCTTGGAGTGTACGTTCCCCTAAAAACAACCTTTCAGAAATGGCAATCTTATTTTTAAAAGTCAAAACCTGGCAAGGATTTGCAGAACAGTCCAAGAACTTTTCAGAAACATAAAACATAAAACTGTCACCAACTCTGATGCAAATGTAGCCAGGGACGGGTGTAGTCTGAAACATAAACATTGAAAAAAATCCTTTGTAAGTTAAAATAACATCAAAAGAATATGACAAAAAGCATATAAATAATACTACACAAACATTTCGGTAACTTAGGGCCCTATGATTTCCACGATGTGGAAAACACGGACGCAATCACGGAATCCAGTCATGAAAACGGAATTAGTCAAATAATGTGGATTGTCACAGAATTTGACAAATTTTGGATGAATACATTAAAATAGTGTTGTACACCTACTGAAATCGCGATGTGGATTAGTGTAGGTGAATATTAAAACGCAAAAATACTATTTAAATATTATTACTGCATGTTCTGTGTGTATGAATGGCACAGACGTGTGGTTTTGTTTACTACAAAGATACTGAAGCACACGTGACACTTGTGGTGTTTTCAGCGCCTGTTTCCTCACCATATGAGGACAGGAATACATGAACTTCATATAAGAGCTTCTTTGAAAGCCGCTTTACCAGCATTTTACAGTTTTATTTGTGAAAACTCAAACCTCAAAAACATACCGTCACTAGCCAATCGTATTCATTTCAAAAGACTGAGAAATGTAAGATATTAGAACAGCTATTTTAGGAAATAAGTCTTAACTGTAAGGGGGGGAAAAATCCATAAAAATGGGAAAGGTACTGGTTATTTTCAGCCAGGTCATTATCCCTTAAGTGTTTTAACCAAAACAAAATGCAAAGCATAATTCAGAATACGGCTAAAATGCTGGTGACAAATTAATACCGCAAAATCTTTCATAAATTTAGTTTATTTATCTTAAGGCACAGAATGTGTCACTTAAAGATGTTTAATTTATTTATTGTTTAACATTGAATATTTCCAGTGAGACAAACTGAATTCCAGCTGCCTCCGTCACTAAATCCTCCTTCATCTCAGTTTAAAGTCACACACGTCATTCTGGAAACTAGGGATGTTTTTTCACTGGCTGGATTCAGCTCTTCCTCGGGCCCTATTCAATCCATGCATGATTCACATTATGACGTTTCCTGCATCCAGCAAATAACTCAGCACTGATGGAACATAGTGATTGTAAAGCTCGGATTAGCGCGACGAAACCTGGAGACACACCTCTGTAAAATTCACCCACTTCCTACCTCCTCACCTGCACTCGTGTGTCTAGTTAAAATAGAAATAAAGTCTCTCCACACCTGCAGACGTCTTCACTGACTCACCCATTTGAAATGAACACTCATCAAATAATAGAATAAGATAATTGCTTTAACACTTAATATAAAAAGATAGCTTCAGTTTTATATGCAATGCAATTTAATTATATGTTTCATAATTTATCTACTTTACGTTAAAGGGGTCCTATTATGCTCTTTTACAAAGTGTTGATTTTGTTTTGGGGGTGTACTAGAACATCCTCTCATGCTTGGTGGTTCGAAAAACTCATTATTTTTCACATAATTTACATTATTACAATACCTTTCTCCCCAGCCTGGCACAAATGGCTCGATTAGTTCCGGCTTTGATGAAGGTCCGCCTTCCGAAAAACAATAAACGTAGTTTTAATGCATTATGCTGTCTTATAATGCATTGTATGACCTCATGAATAAACCTGTGATAATACATTATAATACATATCTAAACATCCAATTTCAGATGTAACAAGGAATCTGCAAAAATAAAAAAATGTATTGTGAAGAATTTAAGGGAAGATGTACAGTAATGCATAATAAACTACATTATGAATACATTAATAATACATTATACGTAAAGGCTTCAGGTTATTGGATATGAAAAGGTTTAATGACTACAGCATAAATGTCAATTGGAAAAAAAACATTTTTTGGTTTAAAACTTCTTATTACATAAAAGGCCACACTTTTTCTAGGCAGTGCTGAATGTGTGATTGCTCAAACTTGTTCATGATTGAAGAAACTTCTAGTTACTATTTCACCAGGTTTCTGGGTTTAACTGCACTTACAAGCATTTAAAAAAAAGTGACTGGCCCGGAACATGCCTGACAAAAGTGCATTTTTTGCATTCAATAGCACTGGCCTGTAACACACTGAAGACGTGAGAGTGAACAGATTTCGGGAAAAGTAAACTACCGAATTGCTCGTAAATGCTCATACCTTTGAAATCTACATTTTATGTTGGATTTACAGAAATATTTTACATGAAAGAGTTTCAGGAACATCCGTGTGTCGGACATTCATTCTTTCATAAAGTTCTGTTTGGAAGAAGGTAGAAAACATGTTTTGTGTGCGTTAACGCTTTTACGGTTCAATGGCAAATAGTAACAACCATTAAAAACGAAGACAAAGATCCCACGTGAAAATTAGCATGCTTGGTTTTGCACATTCAAATACCAGTCAAGCAGTCAGTTAGTTAGCCAGAAACATCCCACCTTCTTGTAAATCTTTTATAAGAATAAGGAAGTTCATTTAAGAAAATTCTGTTGGGAATTAAAAAATAAATAAATAAAAAAATAAAAAAATAAATAAAAAATAAAAAAAATATAATAATAATAATAATAATAATAATAATAATAATAATAGCCTACTAAAAAAAAATGAATGCCATCTTTAATCTGTGCTGCATGGGCACCATTTATTATTCAAAACATAACATTCTTACAATAAAAGAGCAAATTTAATTGGTAGTTGAAGTGTTTATAATGAAAAACAATTGAAACATTACATCCAACCATCACCATGAACAAAGAAAATATTGTTTATAATAAATTAAATTAAAAGTCATGCAGTAAAGACTCATGAGTGAGTAATACAGTCACAATGAAGTCTCTGCCATAACGTCATGATTTCATGGCAGTTTTTTAACTGCTGGAAATACTGGAATAGTTGGTCAAACCACATCGCACAGCGTTACCCCACCCGTCTCATGACTAACCAGAATGCACAATATCTTATTTCTAGGAAATTCAACACCCTAATTTCCTAGTTTACTAACAGAAAAAAAATGACAATCAAAAAAAAAAGAAAAGGTAGAAATTCAATCTTGAATTTAGCGGCGTCATTCGGACAGACGCGTTCTTGTGTTTACAAAACAGCTGGACTGAGAACAACAGAAGATGTGTTTTTCAATGCCGACTATTCATTGCAAACTATTTTTAAGTTGGCACAGTGTCTTAAAACCCAGAAAAACAGCGAGACAAAGGCCACATACGTCAGTCTCAATGGGCCCTATTTTAATGATCTAAGCGCAGGTGCACTTAGGGCGTGTCCGAATCCACTTTTGCTAGTTTAAGGACAAAAAAAACGGTTGGCGCGCCCGGTGCATGGTTTAAAAGGATTGTTCCTATTCTCTTAATGAGTAATGGATGTGTTTTGGGCATAACGTGCAATAAACCAATCAGAGTCTCAGCTTATTGTTCCTATTCTCTTAATGAGTAATGGGTGTGTTTTGGGCATAACGTGCAATAAACCAATCAGAGTCTCAGCTCCCATTCCCTTTAAGAGCCAGTTGTGCTCGTGCCATGGCGGATCCGCTATTTACACGGCGGAATTTACAAGTGGAAAAACTGAACACTTCTCTAGTGAGGGAACGGATCTGCTCGTGCGCGTAATTCTGATACTTGCAAAGACTATTCATTATGACATGTAGGCATTTTTGTATTTATGTACACAATAATAATCTTTTACAATTTAATCCTTTAATTTGTTCATTTTTAAAAATGTTTGTGTGCTGCTGCGCGTCCCTGTGTGTGTAATAAGGAAAGTGTACGCGCGTTGTGCACCCGCCTATAGCCGCATATTACTAACGCGCTCTTTAAATAATAAAAAAAAAAAACGTTTTTGTTGGTCAATGGCACAGTCTATTTCAGTTGCCTCAAAATAGCAAAGCATGAGCAATGCACCTGAACACACCTCGTTTTCAGACCAGCACACCCATGGGCGCACAAATGCATTTGCTATTTAAACAACGCGGCGCAGGACGTGAAAATGACAACTGCGTCGGGGCTGAAACTAGCAAAAAACACTTGCGTCGCGTCTGGCGCCACACTGTGCCACATGTATGATAGAAACCACATGAACACAAAAACACGACCTGTGTGAACTAGCCTAAATTTAGATCGGACCGACTGAACGAACCACAGTGAGTGCACCCGCCTATAGGCGCATATTACTAACGCGCTCTTTAAATAATAAAAAAAAAAAAAAACGTTTTTGTTGGTCAATGGCACAGTCTATTTCAGTTGCCTCAAAATAGCAAAGCATGAGCAATGCACCTGAACACACCTCGTTTTCAGACCAGCACACCCATGCTGAAACTAGCAAAAAACACTTGCGTCGCGTCTGGCGCCACACTGTGCCACATGTATGATAGAAACCACATGAACACAAAAACACGACCTGTGTGAACTAGCCTAAATTTAGATCGGACCGACTGAACGAACCACAGTGATGGGAAATAAAACTAATATTCACTTCTAAAAAGGTTTATTTGATGAGAACAAAACAGAATAAAACTTTAAACTGATAAATTCTATAAAGCTGTTTTGCAGCTGAAATTAAAAGTGTTTCATAATGTATTACTTTTGCAAAATTAGTACTGTTTTTTCTTGTTTATTACTATCTGAAGCTGCTTTGAAACAATCGGTATTGTATAAAGTGCATGTGACTTCTAAAGACAGGTTTTGTCCAGTCAGTCACTTCTTCATTTTGTACAATTATTAATTTGGAGCATTTTCTCAGTGAATATATACTACCGGTCAAAAGTTTGGGATCAGAACGATTTTTTATGTTTTTATGGGAGTTTCTTCTGCTCATCAAGGCTGCATTGATTTGATCAAAAATACAGGAAAAAAAATGTAATATTGTGAAATATTATTATGATGTAAAATAACGTTTTTCTGTTTTAATATACATTAAAATGTAATTTATTTCTGTGATCAAGGCTGAATTTTCAGCATCATTACTCAAGTCTTCAGTGTCACATGATCTTCAGAAATCATTCTAATATTCTGCTTTATTATCAGTGTTGGAAACTGTTGTGCTGCTTAATATTGTTTTGGAACCTGTGATTCTTTTTTTCAGGATTATTTGATGAATGAACAGTTAAAAAGAAGAGCATTTGTTTAAAATAGAAATCTTTTCTAACAATATACACTACCGTTCAAAATTTGGGGTCAGTAAATTTGTATTATTTCTTTTTTTTTTTTTAAATAAATTAAAATTTTTATTCAGCAAGGATGTGTTAAATTGTTAAGAAGTGATAGCTAAGATTTATATTGTTAGAAAAAATGTATATTTTGAATAAATGCTGTTCTTTTTAACTTTTTATTCATCAAAGAATCCTGAAAAAAGTATCACAGTTTCCCAAAAAAATATTTGGCAGCACAACTGTTGCCAACATTGATAATTCTAATAATAAATCAGCATATTAGAATGATTTCTGAAGGATCATGTGACACTTTAGACTGGAGTAATGGCTGATGGAAATTCAGCTTTGCATCACAGAAATAAATTATATTTTAAAGGATATTAAAATAGAAACCATTATTTGATATTGTAATAATATTTTGCAAGATTATTGTTGTTTTTTTCTGTATTTTGGATCAAATAAATCAAATCAAATAAATGATCAAATCTTGATGAGCATAAGAGACTTCTTTAAAAAACATTACAAGTCTTACTGATCCCAAACTTTTGACCGGTAGTGTATATGCTGAATTGGTGATTATATTTAATTAACAAGCATATCATGTAATTAATCAATTTTTTTTAATACTCCAATGACAGCCTGTTATTAATGTTGAAGTTTAAGTCAGAGTACTGATGTTTGAGTCAGAAGTTTGCGCACCTGCCTTCTAGTGGCAACAGAAAGAACACAATTGGTGGGTAATGGGACTAGCTTATAACGGTCTACAGAATGATTAATTGATTATCCAGAAATCACAAACGACTGCGATTGGTCCACCCTGACTAGTTCTAAGAAAAGGAACCGGCACCATGAGTCTCTGCTGTTTGTGTGCTATTTTAATGACATATACAGTAAAGAGCTGAAATGTCAAACATACAGACCTATAACACCTGAAGGCAAGCAAATAATAAGAGAATTCAAAATTATATTGTATGATAATTCTATATGAATTAGATTCTTTGAGAAATAAAAAATGCATCACAATATGTAAAATTGCATAGGATATAAAGAAAGTAGCTACTCATCTCTTGTTATTCAGCAGAAACATTTGACCTAAGCATAACTATTTAGCTTAGTACTGTAAATAGAACTGCACTATTTCTAATGATCTTTGGCAAACAGTAGAAATATAGGTTACACTTTATTTTAAGGTGTCCTTGTTTCAGTGTAATTATACATTTAAGTGCTGAGTAATATTGTTTAACTACTTGTATTTACTGTATGGTTAGGGTTAGGCTTAGGGTTACTTGCATGTAATTATGCATACATTATTGTTATTATAATTGTAAGTACATGTAAAATGTGTAACAAGGACACCTTAAAATAAATTGTTACCAACATGTTTACAATATTTGTATTACTATCTACTGACTAATTACCTTTGGCAAATAGAGAAAATATTTATATTCATAGTATACATTATAAATACATATTTAATTTTGATTATTATTTAATATTTGCCTTTACACATTTAGCAGATGCTTTTAACCAAAGATACTTTCAAACTAATATAATAATAATAATAATAATAATAATAATAATAATAAAAACATTATTTTCTAATATTTTTCTTATTGCTGTCTACCATCTTGTGACCTTTGGGGGAAAAAAAGAGAAAATATGTATATTTATAATATATTACACACACACTTTAATTTTTTGGCATTTATAAAGTCAATTATATATATATATATATATACAGTGGGTACGAAAAGTATTCAGACCCCCTTAAATTTTTCACTCTTTGTTATATTGCAGCCATTTGCTAAAATCATTTAAGTTAATTTT